TTTACCCGCACAAGCAGTTCACAGTGGAACACCAAGAGATTGGTTAACACCCTCCATCTGGACAAGAGCAGGAAGAAAGAATTAGTAAGGCTTTTTAATGGGTATACAGATGCTTATACAAATCTCTTTTGCCAATGGTGTAGTAAATAGTGAATCAAAGAGAAGCCTACCATTTACAACAATGCAGCAGATAACCAAAGCTACTGGAAAAAGCAGATGAGATCATTAGTCCTTCTATCTGTCCTTCAGTCTTCAGTATCTTTATGTCAGGTAAGTGTAATTAAACAAAAACTGAATCTTCATGGCTTATAGTTTACCTATACAGTTATTCTATTGCAATTTTTTAGTTTCTTATATAAGGTAGGACACTGAGGCCTAGGAAAAAGAGTTGTTTTTAATGATTATTCAAGCTGCTAGAATAGTGATCAAGCTTCAGGCTCTATAAACAAAATCAGGCTCTTCAACATCCCAAAATACTCCCACTGATAGTACCAAAAAAGCAGTAGCTTCACTTCTGCAAGATCACAGCATCAAAGGAAAAATCATTCTGCAGCGGTCCTGATAAACTGCCCGCAACTACTACATTGTTCCTATTAAAATACAGGCAGCCAACATGTTTCTTCTTTCAAGTTGTCAGTGCAAAACTGACATGTTTAATTCCTTACTACACACTTCAACAGTAGTTACCAATTTTGCAATCTATACAAGTCGTTAGTAAGAAAGAGGCTCTTTATGTTACTAATACAACTGAAGTGTTCTACATATTCCTTAAGACAGCTAGCTTCTATATTCAGTCAAATAACATCTCACTAAGTTGTCTGTACAAAGCTAAAAAAAATGGTGCAAATATTTTTTAGTATGTAAAGCTTGAAAATCATCCATTTGTGAGGTTTAAAATAACTTGTTGATTTACTGATTGATTTAGCTGTTACTCAGAATTATTTGTTCAAGCACTAAAGAAGAAAACTTGGCTTTCAGAGCTTCTCCAGTAGATGAGGTGCTTTTAATATTTAAAATGTGAGAGAAAAATTCCACCACCTCTCCTGCTAAAAGAACATCTGTGTTAGAAAAACAAAATAACCCTGCTATTAAAAGTGTCAATGCCAACCTTGGTCATTTTGACAGAACTTGGCTAGGAATCAAACACACATGCCAGCAAACCTCAGCTGCAATTTCCAGTGGTAAGGTGGTAATGAGAAGTTTGGCACAGTAAACCTTAAGCTAGCAGAGCTACAGCCACTCTAACCATAGTCTTAGAGTTAAGCTCTTTATCTTCTTATTACACTGAACTATTTGCTTGTGCAGCTTTCCTGTGCTGAAGCAAATCACAAATGCTTTAATGTCACACTTAACTTCAACACCATCTGTGCTTTCTGTTAGAATTTATTCTTGGTCTTTATACAACAATTTATGAAGGGCCACAAACTACATATTTAATATTTTCAATGTATGGTTCCTATTTAATTCTTTGCAAACTTTCTTTAACTGTTTGTGCTCATCTGTGGTGATACAGACTGTGTCCAGGTTGAAATCTACAGTCTTTGTTCCTTAAATTTCACTACAGTTTTAAAGAAAAACAATATAACAAAGCACTCAAGGCACAATCACCAAGCATCTGAAATGAGCCACTCTAAACTGGCAAGGGCATACATCATGCAGGTAAATGCAACAGAAAGGCATTCTACTAAGTAAGGTCTACTTCAAGTCCACAGCATCACTTCTGCAGGTTTCACTTCCTGAACCATGCTTGTGTGCCTTTAATTGGAATTTGAAGGACTTTGAGTTACCTTTCCAGCAGAACATATAAAGAGCCCATGATCAGTCTTTTCTCCTACAAACAAGTTATAGTCTGCATCAGTCTTTTTGGTGATACTGGTTTAGTTAAAGTCAGAACTAAACGTTCAAAGACCATGGAATTTGCCTGAATACTTTGTGCATTAGATAAAGCTTGTCAAAGCTAGCAATTGGTCTAAGGAATGGAGATAGCTTTCAAGTAAAACAAAAAAAACAAACCACAAACACCAGTATTGCCTCCTTTTAGTAATATGTTTAAAATGTTTTTGCTTTCAAGCATTTTTCCTTGCACCCGTTTTGTTCACATCTGTCATTTTTGCCACTGTACATATTGTCAAACAAACTTAATTGTAGTACATGCTTAAGATGATTAGGGGGTAGAACTCAAGTACTTTGTGGATACATCATTACTTAAATTAAAAACAAGCATAATTTTAACACATTTTGTTTCCTGCTCTTGATTTAACTGTATTTGGGTAATAAGCAACTGACAGTGGGACAGAATAATCGTGCTGTGAAATATGGCACTGACAATGTTGAAACTTTCAAGGTCACCATCTGCTATTCTGCACCACCAAACTGGCATTTTTAAATCAAGAATTGTTCATGTATCTTGCAGGTTAGGCTTAAAACTCAGACCTTTAGGAGTGGAAGTTGCTTAGACAGGTAAAAGAGGGAGCAGTAAAGCTAATTGCATTTCAAACCACAACTCTTCAAGAAGTGATCTATGTCATTCCCCATTCCTGTGGTTTTACTGTTATGATCCAAGAACATTCAGAGAAAAAAAAGTTAGCACCCCAAAATGATTTGGCAAGCACTTTTCTGCTTATGCCAGCTATTGTTCTTGTAACAGAAAACCTGCAGGAGCTCTGGTTAGCTCAAGTTGAAAAAAACACTAGAGAAGAACAGAGTTAGTAAAACCCTTATAAATTACAGCTTTTAATGTGTAGTAAGACATAGATTATAGGCCTAAAGGATTTACAGGATGTGAATGAAAGTCACTTCAGCTGGGAGAAGACAGGTGAAAAGGAGACTAAAAATCTGCCAAGCCAAATAAGCAATACCATAAATGATAATTAGGGAGGCCAGTGAAACAGAGTTCTGAATTATAGCTATGACACTCACATGGAAACCATTAGTGCTGTGTTTTTAGGGAATAAAGCAAAGCCCTAGGTAAGCACATTAGAAATGCTTCAGTTCAGAGCCACTCCTCAGAGACAATTTCCTAAACAAGAGAGATGCCAAAGAAAACTATCATCAAGTACCGCAGGCCAAACCCTGGATGAAATACAGAATAAATAGGAAAAATTTTCTTTGCACTTGTATTTAAGATGGTGCTCAGGCTTACTCTAGTCCATTTTTTCTAATTTCTTTTAGCTATTGCTATCAAGCTATTCAGGTTATTAAGAACCAAAAACCATTTAGATATAAATAACTGCTTAAACTGCTCCCATACAGTTTAAGTACACAGTACAACCCTTCTCCCACAGGGAGCAGGCATTAGTAATTCCCCTTCCATTACTCCAGGGTTCTCTTTCTCAAAATAGCAGCAAATTTTTCAGACCAAAACAGACCAATAGCTTATCCTTCCTAGGAGAGGATTTCCTCTATGTGCATGTGAAGAGCTACACAATGAAGCTTAATAAAAGTTTTCAGAAATGCTGATTACTAAACAAGAAGCAAAGCTATATGGAATCTTCACGCTGTAACTAAAGAAAATAAAATGTGTAGAATTGAGGAACAGCTAGCTATTTTTGCAATGGTCTTTACCTAATCTGTAGTTTAAAAAGCACTTACGAAAAACTTGCAAGTGACTTCAAATAGCATTGCTCTTAAGTACATTTTTTGATCTCCAGTGAGCCATCAAGCTTCCTGAATGTTCATACTGAAGTTATGTCCTAACCACTCGCTCCTTTAATACAGGCAGCCAGGTAATCTTTTATGGAAAGAGGTAAGATCACTGTGACAATATTTTGGGTCTTAAGCGATTGTCTGCCTTAACCACTGATTATTTATGCTACGCTACATAATTATTTTCTGGTATTCTCCACCTGCATTTCTATTCCCAAACTTTATAAAATATGACATGATCGCTTATTGGCACTGTATAAAAAGGGCATCTGACCAGAATGAATGACCTGCAAGATACTTTCCACTAGTCCAAGTAAACACATTGTTTGAAGTTTTCATATTAACAACAAATAAAAAGAGCAAACATGCACTTTACAAACTAACCAGTTTTCTTACAGAAGACTTAAGCAGTTACACCTCAAAACTCCCAGCTAATGGAAGCTTGTAAAGATCATTCCCACATGTCCTGGTTTGGGGTAAAACAGAGCTGGTTCTGGTCAATCATTTTACTTGTTAGCTGAAGCTCTTCTCATTAACTGCTCTGTCTGAAGTAAGCAGCATTTTCACAAACTGTCTGGCTTTAGCAGGGATCACACTTCATGTTCAGAGTTACTGCCAGGGGTTGGTGTGCAGCCCAAGGCCACTGCTGAGCTTGGATCCCACACAAGGGGGGCAGAGAGCACCCCACACCTGCGGGGAGGAGCAGACAGGATAAGTGACCCCAAGATTCCCCAGTGGGGTGTCCCACCCCACAGCTGTCATAGCCAGTAGAGCTGGAGGGTCAGGAGGGACAAGCCCTTCCATCCTGGTGTCCATCTTATGCTGCTGGGGTGCTCCCGAGGAGGACTCCATCCATCCTGCCTTTGATCCTGAGCCCTGTGCTCCTGAACTGAGTTCCAGAATCCAGCTCCTGGACCCAGTCATTGTCTGTGGCTGAGTCCAGCCTGGGACCCCCTTCCCCGGGGGCTGCTCCCCAAGCTGGGGGATGACAGTGACATATTGTCATTGGGGGGTATGTAGGTTTGGCACTAACTTTGCATTTATTTGTACATAGTCTATTATTAGTAGCACTATTATTAGTAGTAGCAGTATTAAAATTGTTTTCTTTTCTAATCAAGTCTCTCTCCCTTATTCCCTTTTGGGGTTGGGGGGAGGGGATTTAATAGAGAGCATGTGTTACAGTTCTGGGGGCAGCCCTGACTCCAAACCACAGCACCACATTAGTCAGAAAATTCATAAACAGTTTCACTATCACAGGAGTGAGTAAAAACAAAGTTCCCAAAAAAGACTAAAGCTGAATGGATAAAGAATGGGACTAAAGAACAAAAAAAAGTCTAGTACTTAATTTTAATAAATGGCTTTTAATACAAAAGTGAATACAAAAGATATGCAGAATGCTCTACAGTCATCTCAAACAAATCTTCAAGGTTTTCTCTTATTGGTTCCCTGAAAATTTGCCAAGCACTTGCTTTCTCTGTTCTGCAGTCATATGCTCACAGGCTTCCAAAATATTGACTATAATTAAAGTCTGTTGAACTGTTTTTGCTTTTACCCATATTCTTCCATTCATCCCCAGGACCAGCTCAAACGGGTACAATTGTGACAACTCCTGAATTATTTCACATTTGGGAGCCAAGAGTCTGTAAACAAGATAAAAAAAATTCAGAGGAAGAAGTGCTCAAGTTTGATGGACACCTCATTATTATCAATGAATAATCAATCCACAGAGCTAGTGTTACAGGAGCTGTTAAAGCAACACCAAATTGCGAGATGATCAAGTTTTACATGCACCTAAAGTAACAAGACAGTATTGGATTTTTAGTTCTCCTCTTATATGTACCTAAAAAAATACAGCACTTGTGAATTTAGTTTTTCCCATTAGATTCAGAAGTAATACCTGAGAAATTTTAAGTCAACAGAATTGCTAGAACTAAGTATCTATGATTTAATAAGTTCTAAAACAACGCTGTTTGAAAAACTAATTTTTTAAATGCTAGTATTTATAAAATTTGACACCAGAGCTAAAGATGTCTTTCAAAACACTACTTCCCTTCTCCTTCAGGAGATAATATTAGCAGCAGTAAGCATAGAATATCTTGGTTTCATTAGGTGACATCATAGTGAAAAATAACTGTCAAGAATATTGCAATACATCTAGAATTAAATCAAGCTTCAGTGGGCTTTCTTAAAGAAGAAAAACTGATCAGGATTTATCACTTTTCTTGTAGTACACTATTACCACTTTACATGTATAACAGAAAATTTGGAAAAGCAGAACAGCTACAAAATTGTTTGTATCAGTTCATGCTGTCTTCTGATGGGACATGGACTTCTGATGGGATATATAAACCAGACAAATAATTACTTTTAAAAAAACAGGTATGAAATAGCTGCTCCACATGTCTAGATTCTTTTTCAAAACAAAAAATAAAAACCTACCCAAAAGTATCAACAAAGCCTATCATTTTTCCATAAATGTCTATTCCTTGAGTCACAAAAATCTTGTGATTATATCAGCATAAATAACCCCAAGCTTCACAACACATTAAAAAATTTATGAAACAGCTCGTAGATTAACATGTCAGTTTTAAAAGAAAATACCACATTTTTTTATCTGTATCCCTATTTCAATGCAAAGAAAAATGTGCATTGATGTGGAAAGACCTCTTTATATCACCTGTCAGCCAAATGTACATCCCTCACTATCCCATTAAGCAGAAAAAGACAGTAAGCATTCCCAATTTTTTGAACTCTAAAGTAGCACGTACATACCTGGAACCCTAGTTTGAATGTTTGATTTCCCAGGGTCACTAGTTTTACTGTCTATATTGCCTTGGCAACCACCTCGCTTTTTTAAACACATGTCCTGGTCTGGGGTGAAATAAAACTGGGTCTGTTCAATTATTTTAACTTTTTAGCTGAAGCTCTTTTCATTAACTGCTCTGTCTGAAGTAAGCAGCATTCTCACGACCTGTCTGGCTCTATCTCTAGCAGAGATAACACTTCATATTCAGAGTTACTGCCAGGGGTGGGTGTGCAGCCCAAGGCCACTGCTGAGCTTGGATCCCACACAAGGGGGGCAGAGAGCACCCCACACCTGCGGGGAGGAGCAGACAGGATAAGTGACCCCAAGATTCACCAGTGGGGTGTCCCACCCCACAGCTGTCATAGCCAGTAGAGCTGGAGGGTAAGGAGGGACAAGACCTTCCATCCTGGTGTCCATCTTCTGCTGCTGGCCTGCTGCCTGCTCCTGCTGCAGTGGCTGGCACCCGAGGAGGACTCCATCCATCCTGCCTTTGATCCTGCGCCCTGTGCTCCTGAACTGAGTTCCAGAATCCAGCTCCTGGACCCAGTCATTGTCTGTGGCTGAGTCCAGCCTGGCTCCCCCTTCCTCGGGGGCGGCTCCCCAGCCGGGGGTGACAGTGATGTATTGCCATGGGGGGTGTGTGGGTTTGGTACTAACTTTGCATATATTTGTACATAGTCTATTTTATTATTAGTAGCACTATTATTAGTAGTAGCAGTATTAAAATTGTTTTGTTTTCTTATCAATAAGTCTCTCTCCCTTATTCCCTCTCTCTTT